ATAATTTCATTCCTGTGTCTACTATCTGTACTGTGTCATCTACTTATCTTAAGTTGTTAAGATTGTGGCCGCCGATGACGAATCCTGGTAGCAATCCCAATTTTCTCAAAAACTGAGCCATTATCTATTGAACCCCCGGAACACCCAACCTTACTGTAGCTGGTATTCCCAAGTACGTTTACTGACTAGGGTCTTCAGTGTTCTTACAAGAACCAGTATTTTAACGTGACTTGGCCATAAGCTTCTTGGTTTCAATTACTTTCTCACCGCCGTAACGTAGCTTCCTTTTGACTTTTCCATAAATACTTTCACGGCAGTTGTTCTCATGAACTTTGACTTTATGAATTTATGCGAAGTAGTCGATTGGTGGTGAGGTTTCATTATTTTACAGTTAAAATAACTAACTCTAACCGCAAGCTCTACGCTAACAGTTACCATAGAAGTTGCGGTTACGTTTAATCATTTCGCAGGTGAAAACTCTCCTTCTGCTTCTTGCTAGCCAGTCATCTTTGTTATTCAAAAATATAAATGTAATGTTAATCGATCTTTTCTGTCTTCTCAATTCCTGTTTTTTTTTCTAGCTGCTTTGTAGTGTTTTTCACTCATATTCTTTAACATCTGTAACCCCCGTTGTCTTAGTGGCTTTGTTGCTTTTTTCTTGAGATAAAATGATTATATATATATATATATATATATATATATATATATATATATAATAAATTATTTATTTAAAAAATTTATAACATAAACATGTTATAAAATCACTACAAAATAGCCATTTTGTTTCAACACTCCCGGTGTCTTATCGAGCGCTATATATATATATATATATATATATATATATATATATATATATATATATATATATATATATATTCGACTCTACCGGAGAATTCGACGTATGAGAGTCGGAAACCGACAGCCCAACAACAGCACATGAGATTTGATTATAGTGGTGAAGGTTTCGTGCAGGACCATCCACACTTTTGAAGGACCAGATTCAGAGACCTGGTGCACTAAGTGCCAAAGGTCCCCAAACGACCCTCCGCAAGTTTTGAATCTGCTGTTGAGATTCCTCATTGACTGCTGCAACATCTCAGTTGGAATACTGTGAATTTCATCTTGAATTCTAAATGGCGAAATGTTTATTTGCTCAAGGTCACTGTCTCGCAGTGTTACCACCTGCTCATGTCTGGCAATACGCACTTCAAAAATTCCCGTTTTTTGGGGTCACCCTATATACATATATATATATATATATATATATATGTATATAAAGACATTATATATATATATATATATATATATATATATATTTAAAGACATTTATATATATATATTTAAAGACATTTATATATATATATTTAAAGACATTTATATATATATGTATATATATATATATATTTAAAGACATATATATATATGTATATATATATATATATATTTAAAGACATATATATATATATATATATATATAGATAGATATAGATAGATAGATAGATAGATATATTCCTTCTTCGTACGTATATATTGTTTTATTACAAGGAAGTAGTATATATTCATAAACACTTTTTATGATGTTCAGAGTTCGTGTGTGTGTTCCGATTCGTCTGTTTTGCCACTATGTATGGTGTGTGTTTATGTGTTGGAGTTATGATTTGTTTAGTGGTGGTTTAAATTTGTCTATGAAGTTTTTTTTTTTTTTTCTGAAGAAAAATATAGCTGGGGTGCAAGAAAAGATGGAGTCATATACAGTGACCTAAGAAAAGTCTTTTTTTAGCCAGGAGAAATAAACTACATCCAATTTCAAAATTTAATTACGTAATCCCAGCTCAACATAAACAAACAGTATTTGGAACTAGCATGTTCATAGATAAGAGTAGCTTGATACTAACACGGTATTGTCCGGAAAAAATGAAGAGACGTTATTAAACAAGCCAAAATTGCTGTAATCAAGGGTGGCTAAAAACTTATGAAAGCCCACTGTATCTCTACTGAATATCTGCCCAGAAGTGAAAATAATCAAACCGGCTGGAATCCCTTAATCTTGAGCTCAAACTGTTATCCGGTGGAAATATTAAATCTAAATATTTTAAATTAGTTTTTTTCCTGTTGTTCTCTACACAGATGAAGGTTTGTAAAACCTTTAAATTTGAACAGAGATTTGTTTTTTTATGTTAATTATTTTGTGTGCACATGCGCATGAGCATTAAAAAAAAGATCTCAGTGTGTAACGTTCGTTTCCGCCTGTTTTACAAGATTCAATCATTCGTTGCCAAGAATCCGTATCGTGTTTGCAAAATAAGTTTTCAAAAAGAAGAACTATCAAATGTAAAGTACACCTACTTGAGTAAATTAAAGTACAGCTATTTCTGCAAATTAAAGTACAATTTTTGCAATAAATTAGAATATAATTAATTCAATAAAATTAATGTACAAACAGTACAGTAAAATAGAACCAGCTAAGGGCAAATACTTAACTCCCTAAAATAGTCCCCCATCAAATGTTTAATCCCTAAATTGTTAACCCACCAAAAATAGTTAACCCACCAGAAGTAGTCAAAATACTATGAAAAAAATATTGCCAGGAATAATTGGTTTATTTGATTTTCCGGCATGTCCACCTCAAAGGGTTATTTAATGCCGTCAAAATTTTTTATTGCTGCTAATATTTTTTATCTATCTATCTATCTATCTAAAACAAAACAATAACACATTTATCATAGCATTTTTTCGGATTACATCTCTATTTTCGTTCTACTTTTATTACCGAGAAGTAAAAACAAGAACAAATCTATTTCCATACCTGATGATGTCTGTAGGAACAGACGAAAGCTTGTAAAAAATTAAAAAGACCTTATGCAATTGGAATTTGTAAAAAGGGATCATATCATTCATATACAGGTTTGGGGTTAGTGTACCTTATTGAAATTGTTTGCGAAGATGTATTCTCGCCATTTAAATTATTAACCTCCCTATTTGTTTTATTGTATGAATGATTCATGAATATATATATATATATATATATATATATATATATATGTTTTTTTTTTACGTCATATCAAACTCAATGGGTTATTTAATGCCGACAAGTTTGTTTTTTTTATTGCTGATAATATTTTTCTTTTCAGAAATGTATTGCTCATAACATATCTTTTTCAAAAATCTATTTCAGGTAATAATGTATTGCTGGTATATTTTTCTTCAAAAATCCATTGCTGGTAATAATTTCTTATAAAAATGTATTTCTGGTATTAAAACCTATTTTTACACTTTCATAGTGTTTCGGGGTTAACTATTTGCCCAGAGCTGGGACCCTAACAGGTGCTACCACCCCGGGTCAGGGTGGACCTGGAAACACCAGCAATTAAAAGGTGGTTCCATGCTCCTCAAAGCCTCCTGATTAGAGGCCTTACTGTCGGATGCAGTTTATTGTCTTACCCAGGATGTGGATGTAGTTTATCATCATACTCAGGGCGCCATATGTGTTTGTATGTATGTTTGAGTGTTTGTGTGTGTGATTGCGACTAAGATGAGGACAATAGTCCGAATAATGTAAATAGTGTACATAATACCTCATCTCACAAATATCGACAGATACTGAAAGGCCGAAACGTTGTAATAAATATAGCAACAAAGATGAGGACAATAGTCCGAATAATGTAAATAGTGTACATAATACCTCATCTCAGAAATATAGACAGATACTGAAAGGCCGAAACGTTGTAATAAATATGGCGACTAAGATGAAGACAATAGTCCGAATAATGTAAATAGTGTACATAATACCTCATCTCAGAAATATAGACAGATATTGAAAGACCGAAACGTTGTGATAAATATTGCGACTAAGATGAGGACAATAGTCCGAATAATGTAAATAGTGTACATAATACCTCATCTCACAAATATCGACAGATACTGAAAGGCCAAAACGTTGTAATAAATATGGCGACTAAGATGAGGACAATAGTTCAAGTAATGTAAATAGTGTACATAATACCTCATCTCATAAATATAGACAGATACTGAAAGGCCGAATCGTTGTAATAAATATGGCAACAAAGGTGAGGACAATAGTCCGAATAATGTAAATAGTGTACATAATACCTCATCTCAGAAATATAAACAGATACTGAAAGGCCAAAACGTTGTGATAAATATAGCGACAAAGATGAGGACAATAGTCCAAATAATGAAAATAGTGTACATAATACCTTATTTCAGAAATATAGACAGATACTGACAGGCCGAAACGTTGTAATAAATATGGCGACAAAGATGAGGACAATAGTCCGAATAATGTAAATAGTGTACATAATACCTCATCTCAGAAATATAGACAGATATTGAAAGGCCGAATCGTTGTAATAAATATAGCAACAAAGATGAGGACAATAGTCCGAATAATGTAAATAGTGTACATAATACCTCATCTCACAAATATCGACAGATACTGAAAGGCCGAAACGTTGTAATAAATATGGCGACAAAGATGAGGACAATAGTCCGAATAATGTAAATAGTGTACATAATACCTCATCTCAGAAATATAGACAGATACTGAAATGCCGAATCGTTGTAATAAATATAGCAACAATGATGAGGACAATAGTCCGAATAATGTAAATAGTGTACATAATACCTCATCTCAGAAATATAGACAGATACTGAAAGGCCGAAACGTTGTAATAAATATGGTGGCAAAGATGAGGACAATAGTCCGAATAATGCAAATAGTTTACATAATACCTCATCTCAGAAATATAGACAGATACTGAAAGGCCGAAACGTTGTAATAAATACGGCAACAAAGATGAGGACAATAGTTCGAATAATGTAAATAGTGTACATAATACCTCATCTCAGAAATATAGATAGATACTGAAAGGCCGAAACGTTGTAATAAATATGGCGACAAAGATGAAAACAATCGTCCGACATGTAAATAATGTACATAACATAAATCGGTTTCTTGATTAATCATTTTTATATTTCAGGTTCCTAATATTGCCGTCATCGGATCTGGGGGAGGTTTTCGTGCCATGGTCGGATTTAGTGGCGTCATAAACGCTTTATACAAAAGCAAATTATTGGACTGTGTTACTTATGTCGGCGGATTATCGGGATCAACGTGGTAAGTGTTATGTCATACATCTATAGTTCTTGGTTGACTCCTGTTCCATTTTTGCAGGTTTCAGTGGATCATTTACAATCTGTTCACAAATGTTTTGCTCTCCTTCATATATTAAAATGTAATTACCCCGTCACTTCCAAGATTATAAGAGCCAATTGCTTTTCAACGTTTACTGGCCAATCTGCATCCTTGCATTGTTTACATTATTCGGACTGTTATCCTCATCTTCATACACGTCTTCTTCAGGTAAATGGAATTTTTTTTTCTCGTCCTTCAATGATGGCACCAAAAAGCTTATCCGCAAGTATGAAAGGATCCTAGCGAAAACAGACAGAACATGTCTAAAATATTCAACGAAACATATATATATATATATATATATATATATATATATATATATATGAAGAAATATAGTTTTAAGACGTGCTATATTTATGGGATCAAGTGTTCAATATCAGAGATAGAGCGTATGTAAAAAGAAATATAAAAGTGAACATTGAAGGCGACAGGCTGTTTCATATTGAACGCAATCGTCAGGCCGCCTGACGATTATGTCTGGCATGAAACAGTCTGTCGCCTCTGAGTGTTGATTCAATGTTCACTTATACATATATATATATATATATATATATATATATATATATATATATATATATATTCAGTTTTATGGATATTAATTTTGAAATATCCTATATATATATATATATATATATATATAGTAAATCCTAAAGAGCTAGGACAACCTACCTAGGTTTCACCTAAACGGATCTTCAGGATAAACTGGGTAGCCAGTTCGCCCTGAAGATCCGTTTAGGTGAAACCTAGGTAGGTTTTCCTGGCTCTTTAGGATTTATTTTAGTTATTCCCGCTCTACTTACCGTATTGAGCACTCTACGTTTTAGTCTTACTACTCGCTTGGTTTTTTTTCTTTAGACGAAAGACTTAAGGCACTGGCCAATTTATTTCGCCCTGTTTGAATGTTTTTAATTCTTTTTTTATTTCCAATTTTTTCCTTAGCTACCGATTTGTTTTGACATATCTACAAGTTGGACTATCTGAGATTTTCTACCAACCGAATATTAATATTAGTATATATATATATATATATATATATATATGCAGGGTGTCCATAAAGTTCGTGTGCATTTTAAATAAATCTAACTTTATTTGTATTTGTGATAGAAATAATCTATAAAAAATGTTATAAAGTTTAATGTACCTAGTTTTAAGTATAGTTAAAATAACTAACGTGATTTCAGGCATTACTGTAAATCAGTTGGCAAATGTTTTCCCTGAACTGCAAAATCATATTACCCTTTGTATTGCTAATGATGGAGGACATGTGGAAACTTAAATAAAATAAATAAAACCTCAAAAAATATACATTTACTTCTTTCTAATCCTTTTACAGATTATTTCTATTGCAAATACAAATAAAGTTATAAATTTTTTAAAGTGCACACGAACTTTGTGGACAACCTGTATATATGACAAAACCTGGAGAGCACATCATCCGTGACGTGATAAAAACAACAAAGATTAGGACAATAGTCTGAATATAAATAGTGTAAATTCTGTTTTATTGTTATACCGGAACGTACCTATTCTATTGTTAATAGACTCTCCCAGATATAATAAGTAGTAGTAGTAGCAGTCGCCAGGGGGATCAGTGGAGTTGAGTGAGTCAGTCGATGTCGGACATTAAAGTATCAGCCACCACAATTAGATTGCTGCGTCATTAACTTTTATATCAAGTTCCTAACGTTTTGTACGTCGAACCTATTTTAGGACCGACTAAGTGAAATACAAGCCTCCACTGTGAAAACTACTCTACAATATTTATTTATTTTGTCGTATGAACTTCTCTTTCTCCAATATCTTATTCTTCTGGTTATTCTTTTTTATGTGTGATTTCCCCTCAAAACCCAGGCGATCAAGGCTCTCCACAATTTCCTGTCCCTTATAGCTCTTAATAAACTTTGTCTTTCTGTTATTTCTACTAAGCCCTGTTCCACCATCCATTTACACAAGCTTACTATGCGCGTTTTCCACTTTTTCCCCTCTGTCCCTCTTTCTCTCAGTCTGTCCTGTGAGTATCAGGTTTTCCAAGCCCTCTTTTCTCATTATGTGCCGTAGAAACCTCAATTGTCTCTTCTTGATGTTAAGTATTAGTTTCAAAATTCGTTGAGCTTACATGTTCGGTCCACGGCATCCTCAATATTCTTCTTGTTATGCTCCGGTTCCTTGTACCACGGTGATAGTCCAAGGTAGAACCAATAAAGAAGAACTCGAACACCGATATGGAATAACACAGATATATTACAAACAGGAATATATACAGAGAAGTAGAAAGTGTTAGTACGAACAATCAGGTTTAGTAGTAATTGTCTGAACGCGACTCTGTTTCGGACTGCCTCTGACTGACTCGCTCGCTCTGACTGATTGACAGACTTCTGACGGACCTCACTCCAGACTTCAGACTAAACTCGATACTTCCTCTTAAGGCGCAGTTATTTATTACTGTATAACCACGTTTCAGCTGCTTGAAGTCTTATCTTCATCTTTAAGAAGATCGACCAATACTCACTGCCATAAGGGAGGGCAGATATCCCATAGAAGTTTAGTACTCTTTTCATTGTTTCTAGTGAAGTTTTTTTTTTCTTAGATTTCTACTTATCTTTTGTAATACTTCCTTGGTTATCTCAATACGTCTTCGGATCTCAGTGTCACACATTCCGTCCTCTGTTAAATCAACTATGATTTCTATCTTCTCGCAGTTGATGTTTAGTCCTTCTGATACGGATGTAAATAAACATTGAAATATCAACAATGTGAACCATTATTTTTTTAACGCTTCTTTTTTTTTTTTTTAGGTATTTGTCGACGTTGTACTCGCATTCAAAATGGCCATATATTCAACCAGAGAAAGTTCAGGAGGAAATGAAATATAACATCGACTCGAGTCTCCTTTGGCTTCTGAAACCGCAGAGCATTTACCGCTACTTAGACAGGATCCTCCACAAAAAGCAAAATGGCCAGCCAGTCAGTTTCACAGATTTTTTTGGTCACATGGTCGGCGAAACGATACTGAAAGGGGTAAGTATAAAAATAAGCAACTTGTTATATTTTTACGCATGGTTTTTTCATTTTTTGTCATTTTTTTATTGTTTTTAATTCTCGTTTACATTTTAAAGAGAACCTGTAGAATACTTCTTTCCGACGCGATATCACGACAATGAACAATAAATGCAAAACCAAATATATGCATATATATCTATATATGAACAACTTCTACAGTATTACGCGAACGCAGAATACCATTTTGCAGGACACTGATGGCGAGAACAACAAGAACTACTGCTCTGGATAACTATCCATGGTGCAAGAGGGGTTGGTCGCCTAGCAACCACCCATATTGACCAACTATATTATGACAGAATACCTCCATAATGAGCGTGATGGTTGGCGTGATTGACTCATGAATACCCGAGATCACTCGAACATATATATATATATATATATAAAATGGATTTCATTCTTTGTGAGCAGGTTCCCCTACCCTACCTTAACTTAATTAATTAACTTTTTTAATAAATATTAAGCTTAAACAGATTTAAATTGAAAAGAAGGATTCACTTTTTATTTGTTTTTTCCATATGTTTTAATTTGTTTTTGTTAATTAGTGAAGTTTAAACTGATAAAAATTTTTACAAGTTGTCAGGAAGACATTATTTTTTAAATTTTATACTGAAACGATTACTTTTCACATTTAATATATTTTTAAATAATAAAATATTATTCAAGAATTAATATATAAAAAAAGCGAATAACAAATTTTCGGTGATTTCAAACAACGTTTTGTTACGAGAAAAAATAACTTGAATTTTATCTTCTTACCCTTTTTTGGATGATTATTTTTCGTGTAAAATCATAAATTATTGAGAAAATACCGCAACGATACGTAGACTTTTGTATACCAAACACAAGTTGAATCTTTAACAACAACTCATCAACGTGGACGTCTCTACAATACAACGGAATTAAAAGATTAAAGAAAAATAGAAAGCTTTCAATGAATCTCCATTGTGTATAAAATAAAATGAGCAATAAAGGGTGTTACAAAAAAGTCGGAATTAAATCGATTAACTGAAACGAAACCACAACTATTTAAAAAGAATATTAAATAATAATAAGCAAACATTGACATTTATATATATATATATATATATATATATATATATATATATATATATATATATATTTATTTAAAATATGGTTCAACACGCTATATAAGAGTTATGTAGCGTGTTGGAATACTATTTTAAATAAATAATTATATTTATGCTCTACTTTTGAATCGAGCACTATTTTTTTTAAATAATAACAAAAAATACTAAAGAACTTTGGATTATTTACCTAAAGAGTTCTTTTCTATTTTCTATATATTTTTCACACACACACACACACACACACACACACACAGACACACACACACACACACACACATATATATATATATATATATATATATATATATATATATTAGAGTGCGCAGCTCATATATTACACCATAGAGAAGAAATTTATGCAAAGAATTAGCAATGTTAATGTGATTAATGGCGAAATCACTTCTCTAACAAGGCTTAATGAGACATTAACTCACTATCAGTTCCTTGGATAATACAATCCTTGAATAATTTATTACCTCATGAACGCAGAGATTCTTTTGGATTCTACCGAAACTGGAAACTGAAGACTGCGTAGCTCTTGTTCATATATGGCAGCAGTACTCTGTTTTCGTCTTGATTTGGCTCTTGTAATGGTAGCGGATAACAGGAGGAGTCAGGTTCTTACTGGTGCGATACAGGAAACCGACCATTTTTCCAGCATCTTTAGCGATGGATCGTATGTAAGATTTAAACTTGTGGTCGACGTCGAGTTTAAGTTCTGGTAAACGCTCAAGGTAAGGCCCTCCTTCATACAACATGAATTCATCGCCATAGGTGAAAAAAAAAATCAGGACCCGCTCAGTGATGATGAAACATCGCAAGTTTGGTTTCCGAGGCATTAAATGTGACCACCAGGTTTTTCCCCACTGAACTTATAAAGAGAGATCAGCTGGCAAGCTCGGGTCATCTAGATATATAATGTTTTAGCATATCCCTCCTATGGAGAAAGTCAAAACTGAAGGAATTAATATATGACCTGTGTATGAAGTTTGCTGTTTTACCCCGATAGCAGACAAAAAATTGATAATGCTTCTTTTTTTTCCTCCCCAGAGACTTGAAAGCAAATTGAGTGACCAACAGGAAAAAATTGTCTCAGGTGACGTACCTATGCCACTGTACACATGCGTCCATGTAAAGAAAGATGTATCCGCTAAATCCTTCCAAGGTAAGTTTTATCTGCCCCGTTTCTTTTATCGATTACAAAAATTAAGCAGTGTCGAACCCCACCAGTACTTAGACTGCAGAACGCTTGGGATAGTGGGTACTGTAAGCGAACTTATACAATTCGAAATTGGGCACCTCAATATGGTGTAATGGTCAGCGAGCTTGATTCGCTAGAACAATTACGACTGAGTAATGAGTTCGATTCTCACTGGGTGCCCCTCTACTTACTGCCTGGTGTCGCATCTAAGCTATGCTTGTAAAATCGATATACAATTCTGTTATGGTCCGATTCCTTGCACCACGGTGATAGTCCACGGTAAAACTAATAAAGAAGGACTCGAACTCAATATGGATATATTACAAACAGGAATATATACAGAGAAGTAGAAGTGTTAGTATGAACAATCAGGTTTAGTAGAGAGAACAATGTAATCTCGACCAGTATCACTATTCCAATGTCTTGCAGTAGAATGCAACTCTGTTTCGGACTGCCTCTGACTCGACTCTTGACTCGACTTGAACTACTGACTCGACTTGAACTACTGACTGACGATATTCAGTCACCCCCCACTACGAGGGCGTCATGTGGCACAAGGCCTTTTTAACGTGGGATCTCCGAGCCCGTGGGCTCGGCCAAAAATATGCCCTTTGAACCCGTATAAACGGGTTCAGGGTCGGTTTACATCCCCGAAGGGGACTCCGCCCTTCGGAGTAGCCTCCTTCGGGTTCCTCACCGCCCAAAGGCAGAGAGTTCAACCGATCAGCCGGTCGACCGAGATCGAACTACTGACTGACGATATTCAGTCACCCCCCTCCCACGAGGGTGTCATGTGGCACAAGGCCTTTTTAACGTGGGCATTGCCGAGCCATTAGGCTCGGCCAAAATATAGCCCATTTGAACCAGTATAAACGGGTTCAGGGCCGGTTTTACCTCCCCGAAGGAGACTCCGCCCTTCGGCGTAGCCTCCTTCGGGTTCCTCCCGCCTGTAGGAAGAGAGTTCAAACCGAGCAGTCGGTTTAAAAGTGAACTGCTGACTGACGATATTCAGTCACCCCCCCCCACGAGGGTGTCATGTGGCACAAGGCCTTTTTAACGTGGGCATTCCCGAGCCATTAGGCTCGGCCAAAATATAGCCCATTTGAACCCGTATAAACGTGTTCAGGGGCCGGTTTTACCTCCCCGAAGTTGACTCCGCCCTTCGGCATAGCCTCCTTCGGGTTCCTCCCGCCTGTAAGAAGAGAGTTTAAACCGAGCAGTCGGTTTAAAAGTGAACTACGGACTGACAATATTTAGTCACCCCCCCCACGAGGGTGTCATGTGGCACAAGGCCTTTTAACGGGGCATTCCCGAGCCATGGGCTCGGCCAAAATAGCCCATTTGAACACGTATAAACGGGTTCTGGGTGGTTTACCTCCCCGAAGGAGACTTCGCCCTTCGGCGTAGCCTCCTTCGGGTTCCTCCCGCCCGTAGGAAGAGAGTTTAACCGTGCAGTCGGTTCAAAAGTGAACTACGGACTGACTCCTTGTCTACTCCTGAGGCGCAGTATTTATTAATTATGGAATAGTCCATTATTATTATTATGGGTAAGATCCCATAACAAATTCGAAACATATTTCGGCTTTAAATAACTCGCAAAGAGTTGATAAAC